CCCATTGGATGATGAAAGAAACTGGACTAGAGATGAGCACACACACACACACAAGCACACACATACACAATAGGCGCAAATAAAGTCATCCTCACTTATCAATGTTGTTTTTGCCAGCTTCAACATGTGCATAAGTTATTTAAGTCATTTGCATTTGTTGCACTTTGTGCTGGGACTAACTCTGCGGTCGTCCGACACTTCCACTCGGCTGCACGCTGTCATCTCTAATTGTGGGTGGTTAGCTCGCGTAGCGCTCACTCGCTCGCTCGCTTGGTCGCCCGCGCGTTTACTGTTAGCTCACCTTATCGATTTCATCGATTAGTGATTGATAATGTGTTTGGCCTGCTTGCTGCTCCTCTTACTGTTCCTGTTCCTATTGCTGTTGCTGTTGCTCTGGGCGCTAACCTCGTTGCCTGCTATGCAAATTTCCTACTGATTTGAATTTCATTTTCGTTACGTATACGCACCATATGCTTGGCCATAATTAATGCGCTGTACACCAGCCGGCTAATTAGCATAAACTAAATTAATTTCCTTACTTGAGCCCTGGGGCTTTCACGCCCATGCTGATTGACAATATCAGATCCATGCCAGGCCATTCAAGCTGGCTTAAGCCGCAAATCGCTGGCAATTGCTAAGTGCCTCCCTCCATCTTTTATAAATTCGCCTTGACACTAGCTGGCATCTATCTGGCTGGCGTGCGTATTTAGCATATTGGCAGCGCCTCTGCGACATGCGACCTTTTTTTTTTTTTTTTTTTTTTTTTTTTTTTCATACTTTTTTCGTTTTTTTTTTTTTTTTTTTTGCTGTTGTGCGTTCACATATGCCTCTCCGATTTTCACCTATCTTGAGGCAATGGCAGCAACAAATTTAGCAGCTAGCAATTGATGTTATTGCCAGTGCTTGCCAGTGCCGACTCGCTGCAGGATATGACAACGGCATTAGCATATGAGAAGGCCGCTCCGATTGCTAAAGAATTTCTGACAGCCTTTGTGCCAATTATGTAAGGAACGTGTGCGTCTCTCTTCTCTGTGACAGATGAAATGGCTAGGGAGCTGCAACTCAAGATGCGACAGCAAATGGGCGACGTAGATCCTAGATGAGCAAAGTTAAAAGTTAAGTTTAACTTGAATGTTGAGCAGAGCAGTTTGCATATATTTATTTTACATATATTATATTT